CATCTTGTGCTTACTTCCTTGCATACGGATGACAGCTGCGTATGACTTAATTTACTTTCAAGTGCTTTCACTTCCAGAGACAGTTGTACGCACTGTGCAACTGCCTCGAGGGTGCTTGACCAAATCAACACAACGTGGTGCGATCATCCCTTTTGCGCGGAGTGAGGGTTCTCCACCCCGCACAACATGATCTACTCGACCACCATTATGGTTACCTCCAAAAAAAAGAACAGAGGTAATAAAAAACGGTAACCAGGTTGCCGAGTTACTCACGAAGTGAATTGGCGTGTATTACAGCATCGTTACCAAGCGACGAAAACTCAATCCCGATGGCAACCACCGAGGGGAGGGGGGGGGTGTACTCATAGTCGTGCATGCCGTAGTCGGTAGACCATTGACCTCGCATCCCTACAAAGCCGGGACGGAGCACGCCGGGTTCTCACCGGACCAGGCTCTCACATCACCAAGCGCGAAGCGCCGTGAGGTATTCGGCGAATCGCATGAAGGGTGCGCTGCATCCTGCTAAGGGTGTTCGGCATCTTGTGCTTACTTTCTTGCTTACGGATGACAGCTGCGTATGCTTTAATTTATTATCTGGCGCTTTCTCTTCCAGGGACAGTTGTACGCATTGTGTAACTGCCTCGAGGGTGCTTGACCAAATCAACAACACAACGTGGTGCGATCATCCCCCTTGCGCGGAGTGAGGGTTCTCCACCCCGCACAACATGATCTACTCGATCGACCACCATCATGGTTACCGCCGAAATGAACAAAGATAGAAAAAAACAACGGTAACCTGGTTGCCGAGTTCATGAAGTGAGTTGGCTTGTTTTACAACGTCGTTGCCAAGCGACGAAAACCCAACTCCGATGGCAAACACCGGGGGCGGGGGGAAGCGTTCACTTGGGATGGAAAAAAATAGTAAAAAAGATAATCAACGCGGCAGGCAAAAGACCGCGAACACCTCCCGATATCGCACCGTCCCGGTATTGTAGGGGCGCGAGGTCTGTGGTGTACCGACTATAGCATGCGTCATCATGAACACCGCCTAGCACCCTTCCCCCGATACCAAAGGACTAACCCCTCTCGAATGGTAGTCTGTTCGGGTACGCCGGGAACAGGGTTTTTGTCCTGCCGCGGTGGTCCGCACGTCTATATTAGCCCTTATGGGTCTTCAGGCCTCCTGACAGATGATTTGTTTTTATTTTTATAGCTGATTTTATATATATTTTTTTGCCTTTGAAAGCCTCGAACAGACGGTCTCGTCGTAGAGGGGAGGCTGGGAATCAATCCCCGAACCTACACGCAAGGAGTTGTACGCAAGGAGTTGTCTAGCACAGCAAGCCAGCGAGCGCCCGCCTCCCCTCCCCGCCACACACGAACACAAGAAGCATCCACAGAGGTCACCGAGAGCTCTCGGGGATGCCTCTACGCGCCGCGTGGTCTGCCCTGTTTGTCTGGGCGACGTTGTTGGTAGCGCTTGCGGTTGCGTTGCCGGCAGCGCCAGTTGGTGTTCCTCCTTGTACATCAGTGTACGTCTCGCTCGTGCAGCAATCCACCCTTGCTTTGCACGCTGGCACTGAGGACAGCGAGCTTGGCATGGAGGGCAGCGGTTCTTATGTCGACCCAAAGGAGGCTAGTGATGATGAGGATGACGATGCCGAGTTTGATATGGGCCCATCGTACAAACCGCTGTACGCTGCGAACTCGCACAGAGGTCTCAACATGCGAGGGGCAGCTCGGCGGCAGCGACAACAATCGACCACGGCATCACCGGTCACGCCGCCGCTCCGGACGGTCTCGCGTGAGCCGCAACAGCTGCAGCTGCAGCGGCAACAGCGACAACAGCAGCATGAACGATGTCCGCCGGAGCCTTCTCCTGCCAATAACTCGAACTCGCCTGACATAAGTGACAACACGGGCGCAGGTCAGCAACACCTGCCCCAACCGGTCAAGCAACAGCAGCAGCAGCTGCAGCAGCAGCAACCAGCCTCACCAGATGCTTCTCCGGCCAACTCTGCTGTATGTGTCGCTACCGTAGCCCGCGACCGGAACAAAGGCCAAAAGTGCGGCAATAAGGTTGGAGGTACGGTGCCAGGATTGTGCAGGCACCATGACGGCCAACAGAAGCGCCGCAAAACAGCATCTGGTGTAGCTCTTGGAATAGGGAGAGTCGCTAATTGCTTTAGGTGTCATCTGTGCCTGTTGTACTCTGACCAAACGTATACTCTTGAGCCTGCCTCATGCCATGTGTTATTTGGTACTGTTGTTCGATTCAGTTCCTTCAGGTGCATTACTATTTTCTATCGAATGAGCTCCATCCCCTTCGGTGTTTATTGTTGGCATTTTCCAGGAAGGTCAACCATCTCCACCGCCCCTCCCGGAAGATCCTCTGGGGTGGGTGTTGAAGGGACTACCGCGGGACGAGTCATCCGAGCCGTACACCCGGAGAAACAAGCATCCCGGCCGCGACAAGTTCAGCCTATCGGACGACCTGAAGGCGAGCCTACCGAAGGTCGACAAAGCAGGGCTATCAGCTTTGCGGTCTTTCGTCAACGGCAAGGGCCAGGCTCTACCATTCACGTTCTTCGAGAAGACATTCCCGAAGGAGGCGCAGGACATCGTCCTGAAGGAGGTGATGAAACCCAGGCTGGTTGTGCGTGACTTAGTTTTTTGCGAGTTTCCCCCCCAAATCGTTGTTGTTTTTTGCGAACGACAAGAGAGGGGTGGAGTTGTGTTTATGTCACTCGCGACCGGAGTGTGCAAGAGTAAAACGGCCACAACTTTCACAGTAACATAGCGCGGACAATAGGTCGCCGTGCAGTATCCACTGTGCTGTTGTACCTCGTTGTGTAAGTGAGGGCCATCGGTTTATCGTTATATGTTGAGATGTACAGGCGTCAGGCCCCGCTGGCCGGGGGGGGGGAAGGCTCCCAGAAACCAGTACGTATCAGAGTCGACGAAATGCAAAATGCAACACCAAAGGCAAGCAGCGACAACGTGTGAAAATAGTCCTGGCGCAGTCCTTGGCGCTGCAAGCAGCTGAGATCGTCAGCAGCATGTATACGTTGAACATTGCACGGGACAATCGAGACTCACGTATGCGTGTCTTCATGTCCACATGTATACTCCAGCGTGTTTGCGGTGTGAACCACCAACTGCCAAGAGATTTGGCATCCTTTTTCAGTTTGGTTTCACAGAATCCCTCTTGTGTCCCTCCCCTTCCCGCGCCGTTGCATCCCGCTGCTTCCCGCCATTTCACCGGACGAACAGGTATGTGAACTTCTGCGCCGACGAGTCTGATCCGCCGCCGGAACACCAGGAAGACCGGCACAGGAGGAAGAAGGTGGTTCGTGGATTTCAGGAGGTTCCGTCGAAGGAGATGGCGGACGGATCTCGAGAGTACGCCTTCGAGCGCAAGCACCTGTACGGCGTGATGGGTATCCTCATCACCACCAGACTGACCAAGAAGCCGAGGATCATCGATTACTGGGGCGTCGAAGCCCACGACAACTACCCCCTGGTCCGGGCCTGCATGCCTCGAGACCTCTTCATCCTGTTCTACGGCCGCTTCTTCCACTTGGCACCTCCCACCGGCAAGCTCAATAAGGATGATCCCCAGTACGACAGCAAACACCACATCAGGTGTGCCCCATAGAAAAATACGCATGCCAACAGACTGCAATTGTAGGTACGGTGGATGGGTATGTTATACTTTCGTTTGGGGGATACTTTGTTTTATTTTCAGTTTTGGGGACCAATATGGGGTGATGTTTGCCCTTGGCGCTGTGTCATCTCCTTCGCCCTCTAAGCAGAATGGCCTAAATATTGTTGAATAGAAATTGGTCGAATACAAACCGTTTGGGCCCACCGGAAGCTGCTTTGAAACAAAGCGTGTGTCGTAATCGGAACACGAAACATTCGTATCGGTGTTGGCCTTCAAACTCCTCAGGTTGCGTGAGTTATCATGAATCGCTGGTTGGGGGAGCAATACGCATGTATGTCCAGCGCCCCCCCCCCCGGCTCCGAGTAGTATTACTAACTGCAATCAGTACTTCCATCACGCCGGGTAGCTCCGGCGATGCCGCGGTTCGACGGTTCTGTGTTTGCATTACAAGTGTGCACCCCGTCAGGCACTGCAAATGATTTGTATCTGCTACTCTTGGCAGAGAGCTGGAGGACCTGTTGAACGAGTGCTGGAGCAAGCTTGTGGAACCGGGCGCATGGCTATCGTACGACGAGCAGATGGTGAAGAGCACGGCGAGAGCGATGTTTGCGTTGATGAGGTTCAACAAAACGAAGCCTATCAAGACCGGTGAGGTGGAAAACGGATGCCCGAGTAGACCCTTGCCCTTCCATTCCTTGAGTGTG